GAGCCCAGAATATTTCTAGGGTTAAAAGAAGTAAAAATGTAGGCAAGAGGGTACTGCCACACAGCAGTCTGCGGGTACCTAATGTTTTTTTTCTCTCTTGGAAGGTTGATGCCAGGAATATCGATGGCAGCACTCCGCTCTGCGATGCCTGTGCCTCGGGTAGCATAGAGTGTGTGAAAGTGCTGCTGTCCCATGGCGCCAAGGTGAACCCCCCCCTTTACACAGCGTCCCCTCTCCACGAAGCCTGCATGAATGGTAAGCCCGTGTGGTCTTATCTTTGCATGGTTATGTGCAGACTCGGGTTAAAACAAAACTGCAATAAAAGCAGCTGCCAAATGTCATAAATTGACCATAAGCTGTTGTGGCTCATCAGGCTACTACAGCTTGCAAATATTTCAGCCTTTCGTGGGCACATCTCCTGTTGATTGCAGAATGCAAAGTGCTGTGTTATTGGGTGAATAAAGCCGTCCCTTGTGTTGGGTGCTTTTATCCCAGGCGACAGACATGGGATAAGATGTTAGGCAGATAAAATGCCAGCTTCTTGGTGCTCTATTAGAAAACCTTGAGCCAAACCAGTAGCTTTGCTCTTGCAAGCAGAGGGGTGTTTGCATTTTTTCCCTCTGATCTGAGTTGAGATGGGATAAATTGCTCTGATGAAGACACGAGACCGTCTTAACCAGGTAGTCCTGTCCCAGACCCCTCCTGGTTGTTCAAAGCTGCTGGAGGAGGCTGTCAGGTGGGAAGAAAGGGTTGGGAGTGTTGGGCAGCATCGCTGCCCTCTGTGCTCCTTGTCCCTCTTGTGGCCTTTTCCAGGAGGGTCTGTCTAGGAGATAAGAGAAAACTGCAGGGGCCAAAAAAATGTCCTAGGTGGTTCGTGCCAGCTGCTCTCTGCTCCCCCTGTCCTCTACTCAAGCCTCTTCTGAACGTTTGGATCTGGGTTATGGAGCAGGAGCAAGCATTGGGGTGGCTGTGACAGCAGCGGAGGCAGGGGGAGCAGCAGAGGCATATTTAAGTGTAATTCCTCCCCTGAACTTCCACTCGCACAGACTCAACAGTGGGAAAGCCTGGATGTGAGAGTGGCGACGTCCCCATTAGATGATCGTGACCAAATCTCTTAACTGTTTTGTGCCTCACTTTCCTCTTTGTACGATGTAATACCTCCTCTCTCCTCCCCTTCACTGTTTTTGTTATATGCTGTCCTGGACAGAGTTTCCCTTTGACTGCGAAGGCTGTGGGAGACAGCATTTTTGACAAACAGGTAGTTACTTACATATGTAGCTGTGAGCTCTTGCTTAGCTTTTCCTCGTTAAGCCTTTTTCCTAAGGCTTGACGATGGTGACTGCCCGCTTCTTGTTAAGTTGTATTATTAGCATTGGAAAAGGTAAAGGTGGAGTGATCTTGAAGGGGATCTAATTAATCCACCCAGGGCAGGATCAGCAATACAGCCAGCTTCACAAACAACAGGTGATTTAGCACAAACCCTTGAATTCAGGTTTGTTTGACCTGACTCCCTGCAAGACCTGTCAGCTCTAGCTTGGTGCCATGCAGATGTGACTCTCTTTCTTGTGTCCTCCTCTCAATCTCAGCCCTACACTGTATTGTGTTGTCTCACAAGCATTTCTATTTTGCACCCGTCACCCCAAATACTAAACAGGCTGTTTGTGGGTCGAGCTGATCTCAGCATGCCGTAAGCTCCCATTTTAGCTGGATTCTTTCCTTTGACTCGGATCTTCCCTTTCTAAAGGTAGCTCGGAGTGCGTGCAACTCCTCATTGACGTCGGTGCGAATTTGGAGGCTCATGACTGCCATTTCGGGACTCCCCTACACGTGGCCTGTGCCAGGGAGCACCTGGACTGTGCGAAGGTGCTGCTCAAGGCAGGTATGGCAGCCATAGGGTTTGCTTCTGTGTGGGCAGAAGACAGTGGTGTCTATGTGCAGCGTTTACCTTGGTGCTCCAGAGCAGTGTTCTTGTCGAAGAGCTTATTCATTCACAGCGGAATCATAGAATAGTTTGTGTTGGAAGGGACATTTCAAGGTCATCTAGTCCAACCCCCTGCCATGGGCAGGGACATCTTCAACTAGATCAGGTTGCTCAGAGCCCCATCCGACCTGACCTGGAATGTTTCCAGGGATGGGGCATCTACCACCTCTCTGGGCAACCTGGGCCAGTGTCTCACCACACTTTTAAAAAAAATTTTCCTTATATCTAGTCTAAATCTCCCCTCTTTTAGTTTAAAGCCATTACCCCTTGTCTTATCGCAACAGGCCTGCTAAAAAGTTTGTTCCCATCTTTCCTGTAGGCCCCCTGTAAGTACCGAAAGGCCACAATAAGGTCTCCTTGGACCCTTCTCTTCTCCAGGCTGAACAACCCCAACTCTCTCAGCCTGAATATAGATGACAAAGGTGAAAGGTTTTGCCTTTACCTGCGCAAAGCTTAATGCTTAAGCATTTTTTCAGTGTGTGCCTATCAATATCCAGTGTGTCGTGTTCCCAGTGACATTCCTGTTCTTTTATTTTAATAAAACGCAGAACTCTTCAGCCTCCTAGAGCAAAGTTTCAACTTCTTCCCAAAAGTGGTATCAACTGGTGTGCGTGCATTCAACTTTGGTAGCACGGTTGCGTGATCTTGAATAGGTGTTAGGGAGAGATGTTAGGGTTTGATGTTATCCAGAAAAGCAGAGATGAAGTCACTTCATACCTCAGGGAGATCTGGTTAGTGTTACGCCCAGATGAGTTCGCTGGATGTTCAAGTCAATGTTCTGTGCTCCAGGTATCACATCCCAGTTTTCTTGCTGCTGACTTTGGGGGAATTTGGAGTTGGACTTCTTGTCTTTGCCTGTGCTTACCAGGAGGAGATTTGGTCCAGGGGTGGGGATTTGTTTCATTGAACATTAATTGTCTAAAAATCACACATCTAAGCTAGTTTGTTTCCAGCCACTCCAGTTCCGTGTCTTGGGCACCGATTAATTGATTCGATTCTCAGAAATATCTGTTTCTCCCTCTTAATTATAAGGGCAGTTCAGTGTGGCTACACGTATCTAAAAGTCAGATGTTTGAATTCACTGAGGTTTGTCTCGCCTCTGCTGAACAAGTCAGTTGATAAACTGCAAACAGTTGTGGGGGGATTGGAAAGACCTTTTGCTGTCAGCTTATAAAAGCCAAACTTTTTTAGCAAAAATATCTGTAACTAAGACTTGATCCCGCAGTAATGTCTGATGGTGAGCTGCAACAACTTGTGGGTCCGGGTTATTTCTGTCAAAATAGTTAACAAAAGTGTCACTGTTTGCCTTGAGTGGGAGCACTCCATTGAGATGACTGGGAATGGCTCTTTGCTGGTTTTGGACAGCACAGATTCGGGAAGCAATTCTGAACTTCACATTCAGCAGCTTATTTACCCAGTAATAGGGACTAAAATCCTTTCTCTGCAAGGAAAACATAAAGCCAGTGAAGAAAACTCTTGCATTGCCAGCACCGAGAACTTGTTCAGCAGTTTGGTTTCCTGTTTGTGCTGTTTTGTTTGGATCGTGTTCTAGCTGCTCGTGCGTGTTTTAACAGCATTTTTTTTCTCCAGTCAAACCACTCCTTACGTTTGGGTCAAGTAAGGTTTTCATGAACAGGTTTGTTTTTCTTTCTGGCCTCAGGGGCAAATGTGAATGCTGCTAAACTTCACGAGACAGCCCTCCACCATGCCGCAAAAGTGAAAAACGTAGATCTGGTGGAGATGCTGATTGAATTTGGAGGAAACATTTACGCAAGGGACAACCGAGGAAAGAAGCCATCGGATTACACCTGGAGCAGCAGTCCCACAGCAAAGTGCTTTGAGTACTATGAAAGTAAGTGAGATATGATCCCCTGCCCCAGGAATTTGGTGACTGACAGCTCCATTGTACCAGATTCTCAGTCCGCTTTGATTTGTAGATCCCTGATCATCTTCCTGTGAAGGTATAGAGTTTTTGGTGGCAAATGTACAGCAGCTGGCCATAGGCTAGCTCTGCTTAATTGTAGTTGAATGACAGTGGTAAGATGGTCCAAATCATGCCCTCACCGAATTCAGTTCCCTCTCAAGTGTCAGCATCAGTGTTTATGCATTAAGTCAGGTCAAGGAAATCACCCAGTTGAAAATTCATTTTATTTGGGGCAGGGAACACGCTAAACTTTAGCTGCGCTGGCTGTCAGATTTTGGAGGAGACGTTTGACTGGAGGAAGGCTTTAAATCAGTCTGTGTCTTGGTTACCCTTAGTGAACCTCAGAGGAGTAATTCACAGACCCTTCTGAGCATTTGCAGACTGCTGCTCAACACCACTGCATTAGATGATCCTAAAAGTTGTAGAATCATAGGATGGTTTGGGTTGGAAGGGACCTTTGAAGATCATCTAGTCCAACCCTGCCTTTCACTAGATCAGGACATCTTTCACTAGCCCAGGTTGCTCAAAGCCCTGTCCAACCTGAACTGGAACGCGTCCAATGATGGAGCATCCACAGCTTCTCTGGGCAACCTGGGCCACTGCCTCACCACCCTCACCATCAAAAAAATTCTTCCTTATAAAAGAATGAAGTATTTTCTGGCTTTGCAATCCTTTGTGTGGTGAGCATCTTAGAGCTCCTTCTCCCTCTGACTTCTTTCTCTGTAGCAGTCTCTCCTCAGTTATTCATTGCTCTCTTTTCTTAGAGAGCAGTCAAGTGTGCTGGTCTGGTTGCAGCTGAGCTGGCTGAAGAGGTTGAATCCTACATGCCCATAAATACTCCTTATATCTCGCCAGAATTTACTGCCCACTCAACCCAGCTGGCAGAACTGCAGGTGTAGTTGCTTTTCAGCTCTCGACTGTTGTAACAGTACTGTGCTAGCCTTAGTAGTGTTTTTTTCTTCTTATTTGTATCGTTAAATTTGGGACTAGATCCAGGACAGATGCGGATCTTGGAGGCCGGTGATTGCCGAGGCTGTCAGGGTAGGGAGCTTCTTAGGAGTGATGACTCCCAGAGCAACGTGCCCAACAGTCACTCTATGTCCATGCACGAGCATCAACACCCAGCATCGAGGCTGCGGACCGGGGGCTGTCTGGAAGCGGCTTAGGGAGTTTTCTTGGAGCTGTCAGCAGAGTGCTGAGTGAAAAGGGTTAACGCAGTTCTTAGATGGAGAAACAGAGTGGTAGAGAGGTGATGGAAATAGGTTTTGTTCCTATATACACTGTTGCTGAGGAGATACAGCATCACTAAGGGAAATCTGAAAGCCTTGGATAGCCCCAGTGGATCAGAGCAGGTGATCCAGTTGGCACCGTTGGGCTTCAGGCGATGCAGGCAAGGAGGGGAGCTGGGAGGAGTGCGCTGCAGCTGTGCTCACTATTTCTAGCGGGATTTGCATTGGGATGTGCCTTGAGAGAGCACATCCATGGCTCTGCAGTGCCTTCCTTGGGCCTGGGTGCTGTGGGAGGTCGAGTGTAAGCAGATCCAGGCTTGTGATCATGTTGGGGGCAATGCCAGACATCACCCTCCTGGGAGGTCTGTGCTCTGCGGGAAGATCAGCCATCCGCTGAGCTGCAGCCCTAACTTTGGATCCTTTTTTCTCCTTTTAGAAACGCCTCTGAGTTTGTCACAACTCTGCAGAGTTACGGTGAGGAAAGCTGCCGGGCAGCGAGCACTGGAGAAGATTGCCAAGCTAAATATTCCTCCACGATTAATCCAGTACCTGTCCTACAACTGACAGGGGCGAAGGTGGCCAGGAAGGACGATGTCTTTAGCTCCCGCAGTATGAAGTATCCGTCTCTTTCTCTTCTACCTCCCCCCAAGAAACTAATTATAATTTAAGCAAACTGGTGTAAATAGTATTTATGAGGCAGCACTTCCTCTTCTCCATGGGCAAAGACAGGCTCAGGCAACGTGTAGCACCGGCTTGAAGCTGTAACCTCTCCTGGGGTGATCTGTTAGACTGTCACTGCGTTCTAGGCTGTAGCGCGTGCGCTCTTTGAGCAGGATTAATCTTGCCTAATTTTACCTGTCTCTAGCCTAAAGGCATCTCCATATGATCTATCCAGGCTCCCTTTGCAGTCAGTGAAGAGAAATAGATACTTCTGGAGCATGATTCATCTGTCCTGTTTTAGATGCCCGTGCTGGGATGATACAGTATGCCTCGGGAGCGCCTGTCTCCGCTGACTGCAAAGGGATTTAGAGGTGATGCCCTTGAATATGAACATCTGTTTCTGTAGTGGGAGCACTGAATGCCACCTCTGTGTTAATAACTCAAGTGATGACTGCCTAATGCCAAGGGACGAGGCTTGAGAGACCTGCGTGTGCTAGAGCTGGAAGCAAATTAAGTCCCCAGCAAGCTCAGGACTAATTAGAGGCACTGCAACTGGTTACTGACTTTCCATGAACACCAGCGGGCTTTGGCTCAACACCAGCAGTGAGGACAAACCGCTGCCAGATCAGGGTTGACTTTGCCCATGTTCCTTCCTCACTGAAGGTGAGCCAGCTCTTACTGTCGTGTTCCTCTAGGGTATCACCATGTCTAATTTTCAAGCCCAAGCAGGAAGCAGGTCTCTCTGCGCGTCCAAGGCTGCTTCCCTCCAGATGGCTGGTCCCAAAGAATATTTTTCCATTTGCTCTGAGCCACTGTGGCCACTCTGTTGGTTTTATGTGCAATAAGTGGCAGAGCCTGCTACCCGGTGGTGCTTGAAGTACGGTGACAGTGTTTCCCTTGTGGAGTGCTGCGCCAGACCCCTGTGGTGTATACCTGCACAGGAAAGGCAATAGGAGGGCTGGGCTCTGCCTCGGGCTTTGAGATTTTTATTTTTCCCCCTCTGAGTTTCTCACTTGATGCTGGAGCCTCTCCAGAGGTTGGCAGCGGGAGCCAGCCCTGAGCCCGCGTGCTGCTGAGTGTTGTGTTCAAATCCTTTGGCTTCAGCGGGCAGGACTGCAGCTTTGTCCTCAAGTGATTTTAAACCTTTGGGGTGACATTTGTATGAGCAGAGCCAAAATTGCCGTCTACTTTCCAGATGAGACATTACGTGTTGTCTGAAGGCAGTAACCTACAGGATATGTGGTACCAAGAGCTCCCCGATGCCCCCATGGCAAGTCTTAGCACTGTGATGAGAAGAAATTCCTCCTCTACATGACAGCAAATGTTACAAAATCCCCTGTCTAACGTGGCATCGAGCTAACTCAGGGCTCTCAACATCCGTCACGCTGTGAACTAAGGCTTGAGAGCAACCGGTCGCTTGCCTGCTGCCTGTGAGATCTCATGCTCCCCCAGCCAGCACAGTGGGGCTCAGCCTCGGGAGGGAGGGGGAAAATAGCATAAGCACAGGGTTAAAGAAGTGAGGTGGAACTGAATGCACTTTAATGGTGACCACCAAATCCCTTTGTTTTTTACTTTTTGGTTAGGTTTGTTCCCTCCCCCCCCCCCTTTATTGTTGTTGTTTTTTGGTGTTTTTTTTTTTCTGTGCCGTATCATATAAAACAGGACAGAAACATTTTTGAGATCCTGCTCTTCAGTGGATTGTCTGTTTATAATTCTGATTTTTGTGTTTCAAGTATCAGAAATGTGAAATTGCCAAGAAGCTCAGGGAAGCCCTAGAGATGTTTATTGTGGGATTCATCCCTGTGATTGATAGGATAAAGGTTTTGTATTGTATCTTTCAAGAAAAGCTTTCTCTGCCCAATGTGCATGTCCTTACAGATAAATATGTATTAGGAAAGCGCAGCTTTTGGTAATTTGGGGTGAAAACCTTCCCTCTTGGTTCAAATTCAAATCCTTTGTTAGGTTGCTTTTTTAATATTGCCTCAGCTGGTGAAATAACGAAATGGTAAAGTCCAAGTTTCCAATGTAAAAACAAAAGACTCCTCAAACAACCGAGAATAAAATGACAAGTTCCTATTTACTTCATCTTTATTTTTCCCTCTCTTTTAAGTCACCTCTCTGGTAGGTCCTAAAGTATGGTTATTTTTTTAAAATCTCTTTTTAAGAGGTCCTGCTGATCAATTCATGCATCCAGGAGGGACCTCTTATTTGGTGGCGATAGCCAGACTCGTTCACTAGCAATATTCTTAAGACATCCACTTGTTACAGCCATATCTGGAGGTAAAGGTGTTCCAGGAAAGTCCTTTGAGAGCCGACGAGGTGGAAAACAACACCTGAGCTGTTTCCCAGTGCGCCGTGGTACTGAGGCAGGTGGCTGGATCATGCCATGGCTGTTGATGACCAGACGGGTGTTTACTTGTGCATTTCTGGGTTTCCAAACCGCAAGTGAAAATTGAGATTGAGATTCTTTTCAGTCTTATATCCAAACCATCTAGCCCACGGTTCTTTAAATCCTGCAGGAATTTCTCAGCTGGTTGTGAAGCATCTCCTCAGCTTTTGCGTTTTACAGCTCAGAGTAAAGGCAGAGTAAGATGCCAAGTCAAACTGATGCGATGTTTTGGCTTCCCTTAATATCTCAGACTGCACTTTTTGCGGCAGTTGGCAGTTACTGCATGAGTAGCATCATCATCCTTGCCACAGGTATAGTCTGGAGAGGTAGGAATCACTGCAGTCATCTCAAATTAAGATGAAAATTAGAAGCTTTGGAGATAATGTTGCCCTAACAGGGGGGCTGGGGGCTACACTGGGGATCAAATTTGTATTAAGGTCTCTCCTGGCCCATGAATTGCTGAGAGTACCTCTGCTTACTACTACAAGAGGCTGTAGCAGGTCATCAGTGAGCCATCCCCAGCGCTCCGCTTCTGCAAACCCATCTTAGTTCATCGCCCTGCTTGATGTGAGGTGAGGTCCACAGAGGTGGATACCTCAGGATCGCCCGCAAGACATCCCAGAGGCTGTGGATGTGCTGTTCTGTATCCCAGGAAGCCGTACCCAGCTCTCATTGCACCACCGCATTGCAGATGTGCGTTGGGAAAGGCAGTTGTGGCTGCCCTCAAGAATTTCCTCCTCCAGTTATTTTTGCACTGGTTGTGCTTTCTTTCTTATGTGTATGAGAAACAAAGTCTTAAGAGGACCTTCTCTTCTGGAAGTTTCATGCATCTCGCCTGGGTGATGTGCCCTCTGGCCACGTAGGGTTGACTTCTCTCAGTTATGGGTTAAAATATCTTGGAGAGCCAAGCACCCAATTCACACTTAGTTTGTTGGGACTGGGTGCCTTTGCTGTTTCAGTGGCAGCCAAAGGTTTGAAAAGAGTTTGGGGATTGTTGGGAATGGAAGAGGCTGAATCATGGGTATTATTAAGTGAAACTCCTTGGCTGACTCTGCTTGGGTTACACCCTCTGCTTTATTTTTCTGTCAGGTTCTGGCTATTATTTGACTTCCTTCACCCTCTAATCCGAATGTCAAATCAGGGCATGAATCCAACGCAACCAAACTCAAACCCACCCTGCCAGTCCTGCTTTCACCCATCCCTTTCCTGGGGTCCCCCATCTGCAAACCCAATTGAACATTTCAGGCCTTTCTCCTCTCTCGTGGGTTTCTCCTTCCTGCACCGCCAGCTTTGCTCGGGATCCAGCAGCGTGGGGAGCGCTCCAGAATAACCCCACTGCTTTGGAGAAGCCCAGGTGAGAACAGGGCTTTGCTTTCAGCAGTGAAAATCATCTTTCGGACAGTCAGCCTTGCTCCCGGGTGCTGCTGGTTGCTGCTGGCCGGGCTTCTTAAGATCGGCTTGCAAACGGGAAGCTTGATGGTAGCAGCTTTTCTCCAACTATGTGAAGTTTGTCCAGAAAAAACAAGGTGTGACTGAAGCCAGTGCCTTGGAAGAAAGCCTTATGGCGCTGAAGAATTAACTCCTTGTAACGCCAGCAGCTGTTACTTTCCCTGGACGAGGTGGAATGGATCCACCCTTCCCCTCCATGCATGAAGGGAGGATTTGTGCTGTTGGTTGCAACCCTCTGAGTCTCGGCATAAAGCAGCAGCGGAGAAGGGAAGACATCAAGCACAAACAGGGTTGGGTTTTTTAAAATTTTTTAATACCTTCAGGGGACTTTGTACAAGTGACCAAACCCCAAGAGCTGCCCTAACCTTAGCAGCAGCAAACAAAGACCTCGGTGTCCTCTGGAAGGTGGCACCTGAAGATGAGTAATGCAGTGGTTGCATCACGTTTAGGGCAAGTGTGAGCATGAAATATCTGTTCTACCTCTTGATTTAAAAAAAAACCTCTAAATGCTGAAGACCTTGAGTACTTACCTGAGCTTTCACACACCCTGTTCATCACTTCCCTCCTTTCTTTGGGGGAACAAGCGATCTTGCAGACACTTGCAAGAAGGTGGCGCCTGTCCCGTACGCTTGAGTGGGAGCAGATGTAAACCGAGTTGGGAGGGGTCTCTGCTGACTTGCAGTTGCTTGAGGTCCAGCCTTCGGCAGCTCACTGGCTGGTTAACATCCTGCTCCCTGGCCTTGGGGTGGCCAGAACACTGATTGTTTTGAAATTGAGGTTTTTAAGGCCGAGGTTGTTATTTTCAAACTTAAAGCCAGCACCTAAATCCATGGTGAGGTAGCAAAGCATAAGGGATGAAAAAAAAAACCCTACTGATTTTGTAGGACCTCTGGAAACCTTGACTACTTCTATGTGGCACCTTTAGATTTGCCTGTACTGTTAGTTGACCCCAGGCTCTCCTCCTTGCATGCCACTGGGGGCAGAAACCTCATGGGTCCTGCAACAAAACCCAAACCAACTCACTTTTTCGCCCAACAGTGTAGATGCAGCTCGTGCTTCGGTAGGTGCCCTATAACTGTGATACCCTGA